ACTGTAGTTGAGATGCCACTTTCCTGAGAAAATGAAGATTGCAATAGTCACTTCTTCTGAGTGTGCAGTCTCTGATGTGCCGTAGGGGAAATCCGCTCATGGGAATGAGTCACGAAGTGTCTGTGACTTCCCTGGTTGGCATTGGGGGTGAGGGATTGGTGTCCAGACCTACCACCCGCTTGCAATGCCCCAGTTGGCAGACAGTTGAGAAAGGTTAAGATTTGCCTCAAATTCCCACTGCGAGAGTCCGTGCACAATGGGGCCTGTGCGTTATTTTGAACTGATGCTTCCTTTCTCCTTTGCAGGTTCTGTTAGGGGCAGAAGTAGAATAGTGGGGACCAGCTATAGTTATAAGAAACATTAATCATGCTCTATTAATCATAATTATTCTGTTCTGATTAGAGAAAGCACCTTCTAACCTGGCTGAGCGTTGTACGCCCTGGGACATGGGAGCTGACATCGGAATGCAGTCCATCCTCCTTTTATGAGAACTGCCTATAATTATGGAAAGATTTACAACTTGTTGCAAAAACAATCTGGTCCCAAGGTGCCAGCCCTTTGCAACCCGACCCCCAGCCCCCATTGCCTGTAACCTGTAGCCATGATACCATGCCTACTTCCCCATGCCTGTAATTCCTACTGTCCCATGTAATCTTTGTCCTTCTGTCCAATCTAAGCAGCTGTCTTATGGGGAGGGGTAGAGCAGATTTTTGTGGGTGACCTGCTGTTCTCCTGTACTGCCAGCAGTATTGCAATAAACGGTCATATATGATTCAACCCTGTCTCTGCTTAATTGCTCAAGTAGTGACAGGCTGCCCAGACCCATTGTGGTCTGGTTTCAGTTCCTCTTTGGTGTTGCTAAACTTGAGGACCCTATGTGGCAGCTGAAAGTGAATAAATTCTCAGGCTCAAAAAAGTTTTGAAGGTGAAGGTGAGAGTGCAGGGGTGCCCCCTCCCCAGCAGCCCTGGGCTCTGCCTGGGCTGGAGCCAATTTTCTCTGTCTCCTTTGGGTCCCAAGAAAACAAACAGGGGCTCTTTTTTTAAAATATTTTTTTAAGAATTTCAGAGAGGAAGGGAGAGGAATAGAGAGATAGAAACATCAATGACGAGAGAGAATCATCAGTCTGCTGCCTCCTGCATGCCCCCCACTGGAGACCGAGCCCACAACCCAGGCACGTGTCCTTGACTGGAATCGAACCTGGGACCCTTCAATCTGCAGGCTCACGCTTTATCCACTGAGCAAACCAGCCAGGATAAGCAGGGGCTCTTTAGGGTGTGTTCTCCCCTTCTCTGTGGCCTCCCTGGGAGCACAATGGAAGTTAACTTTGTACCCCATCCTTTAATGGGCCTTGTGAGTAGGGTCAATAGACCTTGGAAGCAGGATTTTAAAGCTCTTGGGCCACTTCTCTCCTGTGCCAACATATGCCTTTCTAAGCTTTGCTTGATGCCCCCAAACCTATCATGACACTTCCTATAGGACTGACAGCATTCATTTTAAGAGACTGCACCTTGCCTTGAAACACTTTCCATTTTCCGCATGACCTTGAACCTGCCCTCAAGACCCTCACGATCTCAACATAACCTTTTTTTTTATTCATTTATACATCCACTAATTTAGTGACAACATAAGCTAGCCTTTAATGGGCACCTGCTGTGTGCCAGAACCTGTGCTAGCTCACCTCGTATAATCTTAATGGAAACCCTGTGAGGTGGTACTGCTATAGCACCTGTTTTTATAGCCTTAGAGGGGTTTCATGATGCTCATGGTCATGTGACTACCGGTTGTCAAATCCAGGTTATATGACACCCACATTTCATGCTTACAAGGGAAACTGTGCAGCTATCTGCCCATGGCGACAAGTAAGTCTAGAATTATTACCTTTCCAAACAATTTTACTTTACAAATCAAACAGCAGCACGCTCTTATTAACTCCTTGAGTGGCCCACTTGCACCTACAAGTCAACATCCCTGCACTGGCCTGCAGTCCCTATTCCCCCTTCACTTGTACGTCTGCATTTCTACCTCTTCAGCCTCATCGTGGCCACTCTCCCCCTTGCTCACTATGTCCATGCCCTCTGCCAAGACTCTTGTGAGTGCAGGGTATTTGCACATGCTGTTCCTTCTTCCTGGACTGCTCTCCCTTCCACTCTGCTTTTGACCAAGCCCTGATCCTCTTTAAGGTCTAGTGTTAAGGTCAGCTCATCAAAGATGTTTTCCAGTCCTCAATTTCCTGCTGTGCTGTGCTGTGCATCTCGTCCCCAGCTCATATCACTTGTTTCTGTTGACGGTGGCAGGAACAGAACCATGTGGGGTCAGACCACACCTGGGTTCAGCAACCTCGGTACTTGGGCTCTGGCTAGAAGAGAATTCAGAGCCAAGACCCAGAGTATAAGAGAACATTTATTTGGTAAATCACAGAGGTAGAAGAAGTAATTCCTAGGAGAAAATGGCTTAGGAAACAAGTTATAGAGGAAAAGGAAGGGCCTTTGTAGTCCAAGATGGTCCGGTAAGAGTTCTTGCTCCTGGGTCTTCAAAGTGTTTTTTGATCTTCTTGGAGCTTGGGAGTGAGGAAGCTAATGGTTACATGCCTGGGGCAGGAAGGGGAAGAGAAAGGCACTGGTGTGCTCCTGGGAGGGAGAGCACACTGGGTCCTCAGTCCTAAGGGTTTTTTTTGTTTTGTTTTGTTTTGTTTTGTTTTAAGAAACTGAGTCTTTTAAATATATATATATATTATTGTTTTTTTACAGAGAGGAAGGGAGAGGGATAGAGAGTTAGAAACATCAATGAGAGAGAAACATCGATCAGCTGCCTCTTGCACACTCCCCACTGGGGATGTGTCCGCAACCAAGGTACATGCCCTTGACCGGAATCGAACCTGGGACCCTTTAGTCCGCAGGCCGACGCTCTATCCACTGAGCCAAACTGGTTAGGGCAGTCCTAAGGGTTTTAAGGGTGAAGCTTTTAGGGGAGGTGCCAGGAGAAGGTCTTAGAATATCCAGCAGCTTTCCAGGTGTGACTTTTCAGGGTCTAGGTCTCCACTGATTGATTGGCTGGTGCCAGGGCAGGGGGTCATAATTCAATGCAGCCGGTCCTGAGGTCAGCCATGGCTACTTTTCTGGGCCTGGAGCTGAAATACAACTGAGGCCTAGATATTATCTCTAGAGAGGAAAGGTCAGGGGGTCCAAACCTCATGACCAGCGATATGCTAGGGAAGGAAAGGCCACTCTGAGGGTGAAGTCCCACCTACAGTTGTCCCTTGCTAGGCACCTGGGGCTTTCTACCACATTTCTAAGTTAAATGCCAATTGGGGGTGATCATTTATTTCATGTCTCTCTCCCCCACCAGAGGCAGGGACTTATCACCATGCCTATCATCGTGCCAGGAACAGACTACCTGCTCAATAAATATTTGCTGAACAAATCCAAGGAAAGAGATTAGGTCCAAAGGGAAGAATAGAAGGCCATTTGACTGGTAAAACCAAATTCTGAGTGGTGCAGAAGTACCACCTTGGGCTTCTCCCCCAGGCCCTGCCCACTGTGGAACATCATGGACAAGCTGGTAGCACTTGCTGAGGTTTGGGATTCCCCTTCGATCCTCGATCTAACAATGTGAGCAAATGCAGAGATTATACAGGTTGGCTCTCGGCCCCTCTTCCATAAGAACCACCCTAATTTTGAAAGCTGGGGAATAGTTTTGTAGCTAACTGCTTGTTTATATGGTCCTAGTGTCTTGCTCAGAGAGGTGTCTTGTTTTGAGAATCCTAAGTTCAGATAAGGCCTGTAAACATGCATGCTACTCCCAGGGAACAGGAAGTGAGGATGATAGGGAGGGCCTGGCCCCTCACCCCACCCATGTTCTGTATTCCAAGATGACCCGGTAAGAGTTCTTGCTCCTGGGTCTTCAAAGTGTGTTTTGATCTTCTTATGTTAAGAATATGCCCCTCCTCTGGAGGAAGAAAACCTGAAGGAATGGGTCCTTGAAAGGCAATATGATAGCTACTTGGGAGCAGACCCTTTTGAAAAATAGAAGGCCGGGTAGTGGGGACAAATTTGTAAGTTACCCTCTCTCCTCTAGACCCCCTGCACAATTTATCTGTCCTTGCTTAGCCCCCCTCAGCGAGTTCTTCCTTCATATGTACCTACTACTGAATTTGGTGTTCTGCTAGTCTGCCAGACTCCTAAGGACAATGCTGCTGGACCACTTACCTTGCTAGGGCACTGCTCATAGTAGCAGCCACCTCTCACTCCCACACACCAAAGCTGTCAACTTCATCCAAGATGGATGTTGAAATCTCCAACTGTGCCTTCACAACAATAACTACTCAATTTAAAACTGAAGAATTCAGCATATCTAGTTGTATAAAAATATTCGAATATTTGATGAATTCAATTTTCTCCTAACTTCTGCTTTATTAAAACTTTCAGAGCACTGTATATAAAATTCAGCCAGTTCCACCAGCCCAGAAAAAGGGGCTCAAAAATTTTGTATATTAAAGATGTTTCTAATAACCAATAGAAATGAGAATGATTTAATACTCCATGGGAACTTGTTATGTGGAAATGATTGTTTGACTATGATCCATAGACTGAGACTCCCTCATGACTGCTGTTTGCATATCTCAGGGAGCAAATAATACCAAACCTTGTGCAGGAGGACACACAGCTGGGATTCTAGAGATGCCTCAAGAAGGATTGTTTCTTTAATTCATCCCAACAAATAATCGAAATAATCCTTTAAAATGCATCGGCACAAGTCCTTTGTATGAAGTTGTTATGGTTGCAGAAGGAAAAGTAAATAAACATTTGTGCACACAGATAGAACATGACATCCTACAGTGAAAACAATCTCCTCTGAAAAAAATCTTTCGAAGTCAGAGATGATGCCATGAGCTAATGATGGGTGTGGAGCAACCTTTAAATTCAATTCATGGAATTTGCATTGTTTAATGATGGAAAATGGGGGTGGAGAGAGGGGAGGTGGACAGACATGCAACCCAAGGCACACTGTTATTTGTTTATTTTCTATAAGTGATGTCATAAGCAAGGGTTTTGCCCGTGTTCTAGTTTATCTCCAATAAATAAATATGTACAAATATGCTGAGTTTACAAAATAGTAGAAAAAAATCTTTGTCACAAAAGATACACATTTTTCCCATTCATAATTTCATTCCTAGCTTAGTTGAACCAAAAACCCTGTTTAATGATGTCTTAAGGGGTGTACCTAGTTTTTTCCACCGGAAATTAAGATTCCTCAGTTTCTTGAAAATAAAGGCCCTGACTCGGCCTGCTACTCATTACTGATGCCCGTATACTCAATTCCAAAAGTTGGAAGCTGTCTGAAACCATTCTCCTCAAACCATACTGGCAGATAACCCCCTGCAGATCTTGCTAAAATACAGATTCTCATGGAGTCGGTGGCATGGAGCCCAAGTTTCTGCATTTCTAACCAGCTGCTGGGGGAGGGCAAAGGCAACCCCCATTACTTGTGGGGAGCAAGTTCCAAGTGAATGAGGTGAGAAGGCCCCTCTGAAGTGGGAGACATTCTCAAGGGCCTGATCAAGGTGAGGGCCTGGCCTGGGCATCCGCCAGGTACCATCCCCAAACTCCCAAATGCCCCCAAAACAGTAAAGCTGGTTTTATTTTAGCCTGCAAATGACAAAAACAGTGAGTCGAAATGGTGATTGGCATGAATCAGGCAACTCATAACTTTCTTAAACTATCTCCTGGGAGATGATTCCTTTTGCTTTCAATCTAGAGCAATCATGTGAACATTCCAACACTGTTAAAAATAACAATAACAACAACAATAATAAAAATGAAAAAGGAAACTGCATAAAAGCTTAACAACAATGACTACCTTTCAGTCCAAATCAAAACAACACCAATAATAAAACCCAGGCTCACTGTTTAAAAAATAAAAATAAAAACTCCTTGGGTTGACTTTCTCAGACAGTCCAGCAACATTAATTTAACAAATGCCTCTCATATCTTAACCTTTGTTAAAATGATATTGGCCCTGGAAGCATGAAACTTCAGGATAAATTCGCAAATCTGGTGAAAGAACAAATGCCCAGCCATTCTTATTTTTAGTGTTTTTGCTCTGTTTCACCTAAGAGCTCTGCCCCCTAGGCCCTAGGCAGACAGCTAAAAGTAGAAGTAGAGTCAGATGCAGGTAAGGTGACTCAGAGGGGTTGGCCCAGTTCCTGGGAAGGGAAAATTGGGAGGAATGAGAGGGGGAAATGTGGCTTGGCTTCATAAATGTGAGAGGCTGGGGGAAAAAAACAATTCACCAACATAGTTTAACTACCACTTGACAAGTGGGAGTATATAAATACATAGATAGGGGAGGTGAGAAAGAGAGCAGGAAGGTAGGGAGGGACGCAATGTGGGGATGAAGACATACAGGTAGGGAAAATAGAACAAAAAGTCCTAAATACTTAAAAAAATAAATATCTTAGTCATCAACATGACACAATCGCACTCACTAGTCCATCGGATCACAGTCTGCCCAATAGTGCTTACCCCTCCTGCCTTACAGAAGGCAGGGCACGGGGAACTTTGCAATCTCCATATTCATTTTAAAATTGCCGTCTCTGCCCAGTAAGTAGTCTGGTGACATCATGGAAGTAACGGGGGTGCATCCTCCTTCCAGTCCCTCCTCCCCAGCCATTCCTGGCGTCAGCAAAAGAAGGGATGGGGGTCTCCTCCAGTTCTGATGCCAGCTAAGGTGCTTTGGAGACAGCCCGGGAGTAAGGCCGGGGGAAGAGGCCAGGTTAGGGCCAAGCCCACACCTGGGGCCAGGGAGGGAGACCCCTCAGAGTTTCTGAGGCATCTGCTCTGTCCGCACGTGCTGCAGCACCACCTCCTTGGAGGGGACCCCGCACTTGTACTCCAGCTCAGCCTGCATGGCGCCTTGCTTCTTGCGCAGGTGGCAGAGGAGCGCCAAAAGCGCCACCACCAGACACAAGCTCGCGATGGAGATGCCAATGAGTACGCCAGAGTGCACGGAGCCTGCAGGCCTGGGGCTGGAGGTGACGCCAGGTGTCGGGCTGACCGGAGGCTCCCCAGAGCCCCCGTCGTCGCCGCCGCCTCCAATCACGGGGATGGGGTCACAGTCGTTGCCAGTCTTGACCATGCCGGGCCCGCAGATGCACTCATAGGTGCCAGGGAGGTTTTTGCAGGAAAGGGCGTTGATGCAATTGCCATTGGCGCACTCGTCGATGTCGGTGCACACTGAGCCCTCGTCCAGAATGTAACCCTCGGGGCACCGGCAGGTGTCCGGGTAGTTGGGATCGCAGTCGGCTGGGCATTCAGTCTGGTTGCAGAACATCTGGCACTCGTGCTGGGCGTGGGGCACGGGCACGAAGCCCTCCGCGCAGATGCAGCGGTACGGCGGGGAGTCCGTCTCCTTCAGGGGCTGGCACTGGTACTCACAGTTATTTCCCAGGCACAGGTCCTCAGACTCGACGCACTCGCCGTTCACCAGCTCGTAGCCAGGATGGCAGCGGCACTCGAAGCTGCCCTGCGTGTTGACACAGAGCTGAGGGCATGGGCTGGGCACCTGCATGCAGTCGTCCACGTCCTCGCACCCGTGCTGGTCCGCAGCCAGCTGGTAACCCACATCGCACATGCACGAGTAGCCGCGGGGCACGTCGGGGTTGCGGTGGCATAAGTGCTGGCAGCGTTTGTCGCACTCCTCGG